CCCCAAAACCCCAAAACCCCAAAACCCCAAAACCCCAAAACCCCTCTTTTATATTATTAAATTGATTATTTATCGTTTTCTCTTGGGTTTCTAAACAACTATTAGCAGTTAAGGTTACTAAACAACTCTCTACTGGAATACCACTTCTAGCATATTCCAAGTCAAAATGTAGCTTCTTCAGTAAGTTTTACATAATTTACATTACAGGCTGTAAACTTGATGTCTCATCTAATCCCTAATCTAGAGGTATGAAGTGGTACTTTATACCAGGCATATAATATCCTTTTGACAAGAGATACAGGAGCTAAGAAGCTCTGCTAAACCTAGACCCGACCTTTAGCCCAAGCAATGTGCTAAGTTGCTAAATTAGTTTTAGGACTACTAAATCCCTTGTAACTCCTGAGTTCTGGATAGCCTCTAGTTGGACTGCTGGTCATGAACATTTGAATTAATTTTAGTGATGTAATTAACTTGACTTATTGGCGAATATTTCTATGCCTGAGAAGAAGACTTCCAGTGAGATCTTGAGTCGAAGTCACTTGGAACTGCTTTTTACCAAACATTGGGGCTTTTTGTTTGGATCTAGAGGCCTTCTTGCGCGCTTTGGATCTTGATTTTGGTACACGTGTCTGAGAACCTGATGGGTTGTATGATTTCTTAACTATAAATTTTTCTTTGAATGTTATTCTTATAATATTAATCACGGGAAAGATATTTGTAGCGAGATATTATTCTAAATAATCTAAAGCTCTTTACTTATCCCTAAACTGCTTATAAAATACAGATTATTATAAAACACTCTGCAGGCTAGAGTAGCCAAAGTGGGTCTACTAAACTTCAACTGAATTTATTCTCTATGACTTCTGGTTGGCTTACATATATCATAGTCATGGCAGTTATACAACTTATCAAACTCTCTCGTTGTAATGATATAATCATTATTTACACGTAACTGGGTTATTCAGGATCGTATTATTAAACTGCAGTGTTAGGTTAGGTTTGTTTATAACAGACCCTTTTATCTCAAGGCCCTTGGGCCGTTTCTTAAGGACCTTCTGAGCAAACTTATTTGTACCACTTCTCAGCCAGGATATTGTTGTTCTTCAAAGTAGGAGTTTGCTATGTAAAATAAATCAAAAATAAAATACTTTTTTATTATTAGATTTTCCTGCTCTTTTCACACTCTTTTTATTCCGTTTGAATAAGTTCTTGGAAGACTTTGAGTTCTTAGAAATCTTGCGTGGGTCAAAAGTCTTCTCCCGATTCAATCCCATTTTGGAATCGGCCTTGTGGCCCTGGTTTTTCTTACTTCTGTGGAAAATAAATTTTCTTGGCGTCTTTTGATTTTGGACTGTTCCTAAAGAATTATTCATATTTTGGAAATCTTAGGAAGTTTGTTAGAATCAGAATGTATTTCCATAAAATTTCATGTATTAAATGTGATAGGTTAGATAAAATTTAGAAATATCAATGCATGGCTTTGGAAGTCTACTTACTTCGATCAGTGAGAAAAGGGTCCTCTCGAGGACCCCTTGCGCTCTCTCTTTTAAGAGTTTTAGTACAATTTGTGAGAAGATTAAGCAACATTGGTTTGCTTTCGATTCCTCTGATTTTAATCGAATTCCCAGGCTTAAATTTATTCTTGTTATTTTTACTCTTCTTACTCATAGGACTCTTGTTTGGCTAAATGTAGACATATTAAAATGAATCAAAACAGAGCTTCAGTTTTCTTTTGGAAAAATTCTGGAACTGAAATCTAAGCATGAAGAAGGAAGAACTTAGAGAAATTATTCCTTAACTTACCTTCTTCTTTCGATCAGACTTAAGCAAGCTTGATCCGAACCTTTCGGTGAGGCATCCCTAGAAGCATTATTTAATGAAAATACTATGTTCTGGAGCTTATTTACCCTCTTTATTTCTTTGTGAGGCTTTGAGGTAATATCAGTTGTCTTACTGAGTAAGATCTTTGGGATCAGGACTCCGTTAGAGCGGCTTGTAATAGCTCCTTTATAATCACCAGGAGAATTAATAGTATCAAAATTATGAAGCCTAGTGAATTTAAAAGATGCTTCAGCTTCTGGAATAGGCTCTTCCTCTTGAATATCTGATCCTTTGGAAGGAGTTTCCTTGATCTCAGAACCATCGAATAAGCAAGATGCGGTAGTGGCAGACTTGGAATCAAAACTATAGTAATGGCTATTATGATTCCGTTCATATTTCTCATTATCAGGACATTTGTTGAAAGTTTTAAGGCGTGAACAGAAGTCTGTGAACTCAAAATGAGCCCCAGATTGTGGATCTATGTACTTCTCTTCTTCCTCTTCATCCAAGAGCCCTTTGTAGTTGTCAAAATTCTGAGGTTCGCCCTCTTCTTTGGCATGATTTTCGTAAAGGTCATTCATGTTTGGCTGATGAAATATGAAATTTGAATTTTTAATAAATAATTTAATTTGGGGTTTTGGGGTTTTGGGGTTTTGGGG